GTATATATTGTTGTCTGCTTTGTCAAAGATCAGTTAGCTGTATGTGGATGGTTTTATATCTGGATTCTCTGTTCTTTTCCATTGGTCTAAGTCTCTATTTTTGTGCCAATACCATGCTGTTTTGGTTACTATACCCTTGTGGGGATTGTTTGAAGTCTGGTAATGTGATGCCTCCAGATTTGTTCTTTTTGCTTAAGATTGCTTTGGCTATTCCGGCTCTTCTCTGGTTCCAAATAAAACATAGAATTATTTTTTCTATATTTGTGAAATATGATGGTATTTTGATGGAGATTGCATTGAATCTGTAAATCACTTTGATTAGCATGGACATTTTAACAATGTTGATTATGCGATGCATGAACATGATATATTTTTCCATTTGTTTGTGCTGTGTGCAATTTCTTTCTGCAGTTTTTCCTCGTTCTCTTTGTACAGATCCTTCATCCCATTGGTTAAGTATATATTCCTGGGTATTTTGTTTTCTTTGTAGCTATTGTGAATGGTATTGATTCTTTGATTTGACTCTCAGCTTGCCTGTTATTAGTGTATAGAGATGCTACTGATTTGTGTACATTGAGTTTGTAACCTGAGACTTTGTTGAATTTATCAATTTCAGGAGTTTCTTGTAGAGTCTTCAGGGTATTTTAGATATACGATCATGACATCAGCAAAAAGCAATAGTTTGACCTCTTTCTTCCAAATTTGGATATACTTTATTTCTTTCTCTTGCATGACCGCTCTGGCTAGGTCTCTCAGAACAATGTTGAACAGAAGTGATGACAATGGGCATCATTGTCTTGTTCTAGTTCTTAGTGGGAGTGCTTTCAACTTTTCCCCATTCAGTATGATGTTGGCTGTGGGTTTGCCATATTATAATATTATATATTATATATTATATTATATATTACATATTATATATACTATTATAATTATTTGCCATTTATAATCTTGAGATATTTTTCATCTACGACTATTTTGTTTTTCTTTGTTTTTTTAAGCTTTATTGGGACATAATGGATATACCTCCCAAAATTGCACATATTTAATTTGTATATTTTGATGATTTTGGATATAGGCATATAGCCATAATACCATCACCACAATCAAATATTGATTAAATCACATACGTGATTATTAAACATATGCTTGTATATTACACATACACATTACCTTAGAAAATTCCCCTGTGCTCTTTTCCTTGTGTGTGTGTGTGTTTTGTTTTATTTTTGTGGTAAGGGCACTTAACATGAAATCTATCCCCTTAACAATTTAGAAAGTGCATAATGCAATATTGTTAGCTATAGGTACCATGTGACACAGGTTTCTCAAACATATATATCTTACATAACTGAAATTTTATTCAAATTCACCATTTCATTTTCTCCCCAATCCCTGGAAACCACTATTCTATTCTCTGATTCTATGAATTTTACTATTTTAAATACCTTATATAATTGGAATTATGCAATATTTATCCCTCTGTGACTGGCTTATTTCACTTGGAATAATGTCCTCTGGGCTCATATGCATCATTGTAAATGAAAGGATTTTTCCTCCTCCTCCTCTTCCTTCTCTTCCTCCACCTTCTTCGTCTTCCTGTAAGACTTTATTCTTTTAGGGCAGTTTTAGGTTCAGAGTATGCCTATTTTGTTGAGGGTTTTTATCATGAAAGGGTGCTGAATTTTGTCAAATGCTTTTTCTGCATCTACCAAGATGATCATATGGTCTTTTTTTTGCTTCAGTTTATGTGGTGTATCACATTTATTGATTTATGTATGTTGAAACATCCTTGAATCCCTGGGATGAAGACCACTTGTTCATGGTGGATTATTTTTTGGGTGTGCTGTTGAATTTAGTTGCTAGTATTTTTTGTGGATTTTTGCATTTATATTCATAATCATCCATGCAGAAAATAAATAAAGAAAAACTAGACTTAAACTGGACTCTAGAACAAATGGGCCTAACAGACTTTTACAGAACATTTTACCCAAAAATTACTGAATATCCATTCTTCTCATCAGCATGTGGAACATTCTCCAATATTACTCATATTTTAGGCCACAAAATATGTCTTGAAAAATTCAAAAAAGTCAAAATCATACCATGTATTTTCTCAGACCACAGTGGAATAAAACTAGAAATCAACTCCAAGAGAAACACTCAATTCTACACAAAGTCATGGAAATTAAACAACCTGCTTCTGAATGATTATTGGATCAATGATGAAATTAAGAAGGAAATCAAAAGATTCCTTGAACTGAATGACAAAGGGAACACAGGCTATCAAAATCTATAGGATTCAGCAAACACACTCCTAATGGGAAAATTCATAGCCTTAAATGCCTACATTGAAAAGACAGAAAGATCACAAATTAACAATTTAATGACATGTCTCAAGGAGCTAGAAAAGGAAGAGCAAACCAAACCCAAATCCAGCAGAAGAAAAGAAAGAAATAAAGAACTAAATGAAATGGAAAACAAACAAACAAGAAATACAAAGGATCAATGAAACAAAAGTTGGTTCTTTGAAAAGATAAACAGAATTGATAGACCTCTTGCTAGATTAATCAGGAGTAGGAGAGAAAGAACTAAATAAGCTCGACCAGAAATGAAAAGGGAGACATTACAACTGCTACCACAGAAATACAAAATATCATCTGTGCATACTATGAAAATCTCTATGGACATATACTCAAAAAACTAGAGGAAATGGACAAATTTCTGGACACAAACAACCTCCCAAGACTCAATCAGGAAGAGACAGAACTCCTAAACAGACTAATGTCTAGCAAGGAGACTGAAGCAGTAATAAAAAAAATCTTCCAGCAAAAAAAAGCTCCAGACCAGATGGATTCATGGCAGAATTTTACCAGACCTACAAAGAAGAGCTGGTACCCATATTGCAAAAATTATTCCATAACATCGAGGAGGGAATCCTCCCCAATGCATTCTACAAAGCCAGTATCACCTTGATACTAAAGCCAGAAAAGGACACAACAAAAAAAAGAAAATTAAATATTCTTTATATTTAGTTAGTTCATTTATAACTCTCTTATAATTATTGGCCAATGGTAGATAATAAAAGGTAGGCATTGTTTAACAAGTGTAGATGTAGCTCAACTTTCTCAGCATTATCAGGAAGTTACCACCCTGACTTCCAAGAGTATTGTAATAGTTATTAACAAAGAAAACAGAAGGATGTCTATAAGTCAACAAACTGTTGAAAAAATCAGGAGGTGATTATTATCTATTCCATGAAAATAATGAAGGACAGAGGAACCAATGTCAAGGTCATCATGAAACTCAGATTCTAGTCCTGCCTGTCTACCATAGAGAACCCTTCTGAAGTATACTTCCACAGGACAAAAAGATTTCCAAATTACCCAGAAGAAATATTTCTACCCCATGAAATTACTTTGGTATGCTGGCCAGGGAAAGGATGGATTCTCTTCCCAGAGGAAACAAATACCTGCAAATAGCAACAACCACAGTCATTGTTCTTGTAATGTCTCCTATATGCTAAGCACTTGGCCTGGTATTTTACATCCCTGGTATCCGACCTTTCCACCTTGCAACACAGGTAGTATTGTTAGACACATTCTCCTGAAAAGGGAAATATCTTGGAAGAGTTATATAGTTTGTTCAAGGTCACACAGCTAGTAAGTTATGAAGATACCATTTTAGTCCAGTTATATCCAATGTCAAAAGGGACAGAGACCCCAGAGTTATGCCATTTCCAGGCCTCTGTTTACTCCAAAATTAGTGTTTTGTAAGACTGGACACATATTTAACACAACAAGGAAGGATTCTGTGAGACTGTGAATTAATGTGCAAAGGATAATGAACTGTATCTATATTCTCTGCCTTAGAGGTTAGGAATGATAAGAACCTAAGGGGTCATTTTAGTAAAAAATGAATTATCAGTATGTAAGGAGTGTTTTCAATCAACACTGATTCCAGTCGTGGAGTCGGGGAGTGAGAGTGGCTAGGAATCTGACAATAGAAATCTGTCTTTCCAATACACACATCATGTGAGGTTTCAGGAAGAGCCAGGGTTTAGCCCATCAACATCTGTTGGATTTTCAACCCACCCACTCCTCACACATCACCAAACGATCAGTTCATACAAGAAACTGTTTTTTGCTTCATTTTATTTATTTTTTTGCTGAGGAAATGATTCTGTATTCTTAGTGGCTCCAAGAAACTATAGAAAATGTCTATCTTAAATAGCTACAGATTAACAGATATAGTTCAGGGCAGCTGTCCTGCATGCATTGTCACAAGTTCGTTGCTAACAGATTTCTGTCATTATCAGACTGGGCCCACTATGAGCTAACAACCTAAAGGAAAATACACCGGAGGCTTTTAGCTGGGGCTATAGAGCCAGGCAAAATATAGCCAATATCAAGATGTTAAAATATAGCTATTAATGGATGTTAACCCATTTTCCAATATTCTCTGGCTCCCTGGGGAGTCTGGAATAGAAACAATGCCACAGAGTAGAAGAGAGATTTGAAGACAGAGCTGGGTTAGAATCAGGGCACTATCGCTCAGTGCCTATATAAGTTCAGGAAGTATTTATACTCTCTGAGCATTTATGGCTTCATCTGCAAAATTAAAATGCTATGAGTGGCTTTTTAGGTTGCTGTAAGAATTAAGTATGTTGTGGCAGGTAATAATAACCAATGGTTACTGAGTATTTACTATGTGCCAAGCACTGAATGAAGTAAGCACTGCTAGGAAACTAAGACACTAGAATTAAGTAACTTGATGGAATTCATAAAATTAGAAAGTCACAGAAACAGGACTTGAACCCAGAGAGTTAGCACCAAAGCCCATGATCTTAACACACTATCCTATACTGCTAAGTATGGAACTTCTGTACTGAGTGAAAATTCAATAAATATGAGTCACGGGTACTTTTACTACTGTTAATATTCCTGTCACCACATCAAATGAAGTTACATATTAAAATACTCTCACCAAAGAATGCATAATACCTGGGACATTGCTGCAGAAGTTCTCCTTCAACAATGCAGGCCTCTTTCTCAAGAAGTTCCGGGCACCCCTTTCCACCTCCAATAGCCACGTGCTTCACATTCCGGCTCCTGCTCCTAAATCCTGGCATGAGGTGCCCTGAACGACAAGTCTTGGAGCAGGGGCTCCAGGAGGACCACTCGGAGGTTTCGCAGTCTTTTGGCATGACGCAGGACTGAACAGTCAATGGGAAGGGGTCTTGCGTGCAAAGGCTGAAGGAACAGAAGCAGAACACAGGAGGCCATAGATTAACGGATGCAACCAACACATGAAGCAGCTACTATGAGAAAAAGAAAACTGAAATCTGATTTAACCATTAAATAAAATTTTAAAAGACATTAGAGACAGCATAATAAAACATTGGAGGACATAACATTTTAAGAATGTGCACTCTATTTCATCTAAAACAGTGAAGCTGTTTCACTCTAGCAAGACACACACATAAGATGGGTCCATCTTCATCAGCATTATCGGAAATAACGGAGGTCTTTCCAGGGTGCTATCACCAATGGTATAGCCTACGACTACCACCTGTTGACTGTTTTCCAGGTGGCACAACCATGCTGCCTTCACAGACACTATCTCACAACAAGCTTATGAGTTTACATTTTATCATCTCTGCTTTGCAGGTAAGAAAACTTAAGCTCTGGAAGGCTAAGTCATTTATCTAGTGTCAAACAAAGGTAAATGTAAGCTTTAGAATATTAACCTAGCCATTCTTGTAAAAACTGGGCTATAAAAAAGGTGATATTATGTTTCCCCACATTGTTAGGCTCTGAGCATCAATTTCCTCATCTGCAAAATGTGTGTGCAATCAAGTGCTGGCAGTCTAATTGGGAAATAAGGAAATAAATAAAAAGATAAGATAATGTGATGATGTGATGAACGAAACATCAGAGCTTTTACAATGAGGAAAAACCCTGATGGGGCAGTGATGAATCACCTGGGAAAGCAGGTGGGTGCTCAGAGAAAAGGACATCTGAGCTGTGTTTTTAAAAAATTAATGTCAGCTTCTCAAGCATGGAGGGAACACTATCCTAAGGCAAGAGAATAGCAAATCCAAAGCCTTGAAATAACACTTTGTGGGGATGGGAACCAGTGGTATGCTAGAACTAGCTGTACTGGCTCACAAGAGCCAACAGTTACATTTTCGGGAATTTAATAAGCACACTCCTGGGAAAAGGTGTAAGCCAATTTGTTTGGCTGAAGCAGAAAGTGTGAGGAGGAAAGTGGATAGATATGAGGTGCATGGGTTCTTCAAAAGTAGGTCTGGAAAGGCTTCATGCCATGGGCTAAGGAACTTGGTTTTAATCGGGTATTAAATAATTTCAAGTGGAGGAAGTCAGTTAGACTCACTCAGGAAGACAATATTTCAAATATGAACTGACATTATTTTCTTTTTGTCACTTCTTTGTTATAAGCCCTTCCTTTATTCAGTCAAAGGCATCCATTACTTTGGGAGGAAAAGGATGATATTAATAGGAGTGTAAACTAAAGAAAGGGTCAATGTTCAAATACTGACTTAGGCTTTGGTAATGGTTCCTCTGTATGTGGTCAAAAAGAGGGAGAAGTCTTAAATTGTCTCCAGGTTTCTAACTTGGAAAAATGTGTATTAATAGATAGGGGAGCTACCACTTATAGAAGACAGTGTGTAGTGGAGAATAAAACATTCTCATATTTGCCATATTGATGGTTCAATTACAGTGAGATTTCCATATTTATATCCCTCACTGAAAGTTAATGTGGTGTTCATAGAGAAAAAGGTAAATTAAGATAAGACAAAACTTTGGTCCAATATTTTATTTTTAAAAAATCTATTTACATCATATTGATCCCTTAAAAATGAAAAGGGCAGTATGTCATTATCATTGTTCCATCCACTGTGACATTTTGGGGCCTGGGATCAAAACACACTAGGAAGAACCTCTCCTGAAAATGCCCCACCTAATACAAAATGTAATGTCACTGTCATTGAGCAACGTGGAGGGTGGAGGAGGGGCCACAGCCTTCTGTTGGATGACACAACAGAAAGCTGTGGATCAAGAAGTTTCTAGATTTGACTTTTCAAAAATTGTTATGGGCTGAGTTTCATCCTTCCAAAATTGATATGGTCAAGTCCTAACTCCCACGACCTCAGAATGCAACCATATTTGGAAATAGGGTCTTTAAAGAGACAATTAAGTTAATATGAGGCATTAGGGTAGGCATTAGGGTATGACTGGTGCATATAAGAAGAGATTAGCATACAGGCACACACAGAGGAAAGACCATGTGCAGACACAGGGAGAAGGAGGACATCTACAAGCCAAGGAGAAAGGCTTCAAAAAAAGGACCCCCGCCAACACCTTGATCTTGGACTTCCAGCCCCCAGAATATGAGGAAATAAATTGTTGTTGTTTGAGCCATCCAGTCTGTGGTACTTCATCAAGGCAGCTGGAGCAAACTAATATGGAAATTTAACAAAGTGTTTCAACTTGTGTATGCTTTTAGAAAATGAATTTTAATTTCCAAGATGGACTTTGTTCTTTCCTGGATGAAGAATGTCCCACAGTATTTCATTCTGTGTCTACAGGTGAAGTGGTGGTGGTGGCCCATTTCTCCCCATCTGCCAGCTTACACTCTCTGTTGCTCGTCCTTCCCACACTGACCTTCCCTACCCGACCAGTACAACAGATAATAAGTCTCCAACAGTAAAAGCGTGTGTATGGAGTTGCAGGGATTAGTTAGGGCTTTTATATTTTTGGAAAGGGCTCATAATTTTTGTTTTCTTGCCAAGAAATGGCTTATGTCCCATCAATTAAATAGTTCCAATAGTATTTTCACTAGCCCTCCTTCTTGGCTAAAATAATAATAATAAAAGGTACCACGTTGGACTCTTGTCTAATTTGATCAGTGAGATTCCATTTTCTGTAGTAGTGGAAGGAACACTAAACAGTGAATCAGAAATATCTGGGTCCTGATTCTTGCATCACAATGTAATAGTATGACCTTAATCTCTCGGCTGCTTAGTTTCATTATCGGCTGAAAGAAAAAGAGTAAAACGTGATCTTCTCAACTCCTCCCCCTCCTGAGTTGTGGCAACCTTCAATGCAAGTGGAATCATCTTACAAACCAAAGGCCACAGCAAAGATTTTTGCCCACATGCAGAAATGGCAATTGATCCTTTCATAAAAGATGGTATGCCTTCTTAGTGAAATAGACCTGTACCGTTGATTTGTCTTTTAAAAAGGAGATGCTGTGGTAATTTTACCTCCTTGACATTTATAGAGCATGTTGTCATTTATAAATTAATTCAGAAATATTCAGCTATAAAGGGAAACTTTGGAACTTAAAAATTACTCTAGCAATTCTTACTTTCCCTGAAAATGCAAGGAAATCTCTCTACTTACAGATAAGAGCAGAAACTCTTATAAAATAAAATTCAGCAGTAAAGTGCCTCCAATTCATTGGCACCTCAGTTACCACTACTTTACAACAATATTACATATGTCAAACATACAGAAAAGTAGGGTAATATAATAAGAACCTCCATACCTTCCTAGAGAAGAGTAACATTTGGTTCAGATTTCCTTAAATAAGTAAAAAATTACAAATTCAGGTGAAATCTCCTGTGTTCTTTGCAATCCCCGTTTCATTTCTCTCTCCCCAGACACGGCCACTATCCTCAAATCAATTTGCATTATTTCAGACTTAAAAAAATATAACATAAAAAAAATAAATGTTTTATACTTTAACTAAAGATGTATACCTGTATTTATAAATAGTACATAGCACTGTCATATATGTATATATATATTTTTTTTAATTTTCACTTAAGTATTTTTTTATTATACATATTGCTCTAGAAAATATTTTCCTTACTTAATATTGTAATGTCTAGGTCTATCCATGTCCATAAATGCAGACAGTATTCATTCATTTTTATTACTAATATTCTGGTATATGGTACATGGCAATTTATTTATTCATTGCTCATTGAGTAGGCCCTTTGATTGTGCTCAACTTCTTCCAGTTCCACAGGACAATGTATTGAACCTCCTTGTACATGTCTGTATGTGTTACACATGTAAGAGAGATTTCCCCTAGTGTTACAGCCTAGAGTTAAGTCATAAATGTTTATACAAGTGAATGTGTTAAGTATTGTCCAATGTCTCCTTTCCAACATGCTTCTATCTCTTGGTATCATCAGGCTTATTTTTCTAAAATGTTGAGATAATGCATTTGTATTGCAGATTACCATGAAGTTTTATGTTCTTTTCACATCTTCAGTGACTACTCATAGTTCCTATTCTGCGAATCAGCCGATAGTGTTTGCCCATTGTGGTGTGCTGAGCAATGACCCCCTAAAGATGCCAACATCCTAATCCTTGGAATCCATGAATGTGCTGCCTTATAGGGCAAAAGGGACTTTGCAGATGTGATTAAGGATGCTGAGATGGGAGATGATTCTGGAGTATCCAGGCGGACCCAGTGTAATCACAACATCTTTACAAGAGGGAGGCAGAAACAGCAAGGCAGAGAAGGAGACATAATGCCAGAAGCATAGGTTGGAGTGAAGCAAGGCCATGGACCAAGGAGTGTGGGCAGACTCTAGAAGCTAGAAAAGACAAAGAATTGGTTTCTCCCCTAGAGCTGCCAGAAAGAACACAGAATAATTCCCCTTATTTCAAGACTTTTTATCTTTTAGCCTTACCTGTATTTTTCCCTATTGCATTTAAGAAGTACACTCACATGCATAGTGTGTGTGTATATAAACAGACAGATGTCAACAATAAATAGATACATAGACATGTATATTAGATCCTAAACAGTAACCTGTTGTTGGTTTTATATGATACAAATCTTATAATTTGATTTTTACTTTTGTTTATGGTATCTTTTTGTGGCACATATTTTTTTAATTTCTTGCTCAATATTTCCCCTTATGGTTTGTGTTTTTTTATGCCACACTTGGGATTTTTTTCCCCTATTCCAATGCCATAAAGTTATAGTCCATATTTTTTCATCTAGAAAATTTTATACTTTCCCACTTCAGATTTAAGTCATCAATTTGATACTCATTTTCATGTATAGTATTTTATAGGTCCTCTTTTTATGGAACCATCATCTGTCAGATGTTTAACCTATATAACTGTCTGATATTTATGCTCTATTTTCTGTTTTTTTCTTCTTTCCAAGTGATTTCCCCAAAATTATCCTCCAACTTTTATTG